TTCCTTCCTTCCTTCCTTCCTTCCTTCCTTCCTTCCTTCCTTCCTTCCTTCCTTCCTTCCATCTCTCCCTCCTCCCTCCCTTCTTTCCTCTTCTTTTCTTTTCTTTCAAATTTATTTTAGAGAGAGAGTGTAAGTGGGGGAGAGGGGCAGAGGGAAAGAGAGAGTATCTCAAGCAGGCTCCATGCTCAGCACAGAGCCCAATGTGGGGCTTGATCTCACAAACCATGAGATCATGACCTGAGCCAAAATCAAAGGTCAGACGCTTAACTGACCGAGACACCCAGGTGCCCCAAACCTGCAGTTTCTGTGGCCAGTGAGGAGCATGAGGTTTGGTTCTAACTACACATTTCACTGGCCTCAGTGCTTCAAAGTTGGTACGTACGCACTGCCCCAAACATCCAAAGCAAACAACATTCCTCATGCTTCCAACTCCACTGCAAGACTCCCCCCACCCTCCACTGGGGCCCATGTGAAGAAGCCACTTTTCCTCTCTGACCTACTTCTTTGCTTCCTGTGTATTACTTAGTCCTGTTTCTTGCCCTCTTCTCTCCCCCTTTCCTCGTTTTCCTTCTCAGAGAAACTTCAGCTCCTTTTATCTGATATAAAACTAGGGACACGCTCTTCGGAACAGGAAGTGAACATAGGTCCATATTCTTTCTTCCTCCCTTCTTCCCTCCTCTTTCCTTTCTTCAGAATTCCTCCAAGCAGTTCAGGATCTGGAAGTAGATCGCAAGGCCTTATAGGACAGAGTCTATATAACTGGCAACAGCCTCATCCAAATTTCTGTGGTGTCCAAGGTATGGGGAATTGCGGGGAGAGTTGGCAGAGCTGTCTCCTCAGTTCTAGGATTCCCTGGCATCACCTCTTGACTTCAGGCCCCAATCTCTACAAGGTAACATCAACATTTTGCTAATGTCAAAATTAGATATTTCTCATATAAAAGTTAAGGATCCTCGTTACAGAGCATTCCTGGATCTTGGATGTAAGACTTTCAGAGAGAATGTGGCTCATATACACAAAACCCTGGTGAAGATTTGAAGCTCCTATTCATTGACCCTCTTGTAGGATAATGTGGGCGCAAAAGTTCTTTCTCATCCTTGAGTGGTGCTGGATGAGATAGGATTCATTCCATGCAGCTGTCTGCCTGCCACAGAGCATGATCCCCACAATGAAGAGTTTATCACGGACCTGATCCATTAGCACACTGGGGGTTTATCCACTTGGATTTAAAATCTTCAGTATTTCCCAGCTTATTTTTCAGTGTCCTACTTCGGCATTTCTCAAGTACATTAGGCCAGTGGAGTCTATTTCAATCCCCTAAAAAAGCAACCTGCCCTCTTGAAAAACATCCATGGGGGCCACATCCTTGGTAAAAGAAAAAAAAATGCTTTTGATTAAATAGTTACTCCAGATCCCTTTGTTGATGACTAGTTTCTTTTTTTTTAAGTTTATTTTTATTTATTTTGAGAGAGAGAGAGAGAGAGAGAGAGAGAGAGCAAGCAAGCAGGGGAAGGGCAGAGAGAAAGAGGGAGAGAGAGAATCCCAAGAAGTCTCTGTGCTGTCAGTGCGGAGCCTGATGCGAGGCTCGATCCCATGAACTGTGAGATCATGACGCGAGCTGATATCAAGAGTCAGATACTTAACTGATTGAGCCACCCAGGAGCCCCTGTAGATGACTAGTTTAAAATGAAGTATACACACTTGTTGAAGAAAAGAAGCTCACTCCATTCCAGTTCTACTGAGGGGGGTGACTAAAGAAAGCATGTGGAAATGAAATACAGAAGAGGTAAGGTTATATTTAGGAAGATTCCTTGTTCATAAGAGTTAGAAGCTTCCAAAATAGAGGATCTAAGAGGTTTCAGTGCCTCTTTCCTATCCTCCCCAACAGGTCTGAGTGGCTGAGGGAAGTTCAGCCTTACCTGGTTATTTCTTCTTTCAGCGCAGCAGGATCTGCAGGGTAAAACTTCACGCGGAAACACATGGTGAACGGAGGCTGCGCTGCAGAGACAAAGATGTGCCCATTAGGAAACACCCTCCCCAGAGGACGACTGGACTTCCCTCCCCACAGGGACGCACAGCCTTCTGAACCATCCTAAGAGGATCTTCACATATTTAGGGCCAGCTCACAGTCAGAACAGTGGATAGTCACCAAGACTTAACTATCAGTGGGAGGTTTTGTCCCACCCTCCCCAGGGGTGAGGCTTCCCATCTTCTCATGAATACTTACATCTCAACTGCTTCACCACAGACTTTGTGAACTCCAACCAATGCTGAAACAGAGAACACAGAAGAAGAAAACACTAATGAGAGAAGCAGTGTCAACTATAACTTGTTTTACCCAATTTCAGTGACTGGACAGATTGTAGCCCAGGGTGAAAGCAGCACAAAAGCTTGTGACATGTAGGCTTGGAGAGTAGAGAGTGATAGGGTTTTCTGAAGTAAGTTCCCCATGGAAGCAGCTGTGAAGGGGGAAGAGTTCCAGCTTCAGATGCCATTTCTGGGCCTCCCCAGCAATGCTGCCTTCCAAAGCAGGGTGCCAAAGCTCTGAGCCATATTTCTGGCACAGCAGTAGGCACAAGTGAATGCACGTACGTGTAATGGGGACAAAACCCCACCTGGCTTGGACAGGGAAATGCTGACTTCAGTGGGTTGTGTGTGTTTATGTTGTGTGCCAGCTATTTTTTGGCAGAGGTGGGTGGGCAGTAGGGACAGAGGCTACTGGTCATGGCTCTAGAAAGTATTAACAGGTTGAATTTCATACATGGTGAGAAGGCAGGGATGGCTGGTGTATACTCCATCTTTGTTTGAGCAACATCTTGCCAGCCCTTGTGTTACAGCGTACATACTCAGGATTCCTTGGCATCCAGGGATGTTTAAAGTCTCAGTCTCATAAGATAACTAACCACAACCAATGTGTAGGATAGTACTGTATTTCCCTTGGATTTTCATAGAGGAAGGATATAGTAGAAATACATTTTTTCCCATGGAACTTACGTTTGCAGGAAGGAAGCAGTGAGACCATTCTGTATCTATTTCCCAGTTCTACATAGATGCTTCACACAATGCATTATGGATGCTTGTTGCTTTTATGCTAATCAGGAAACTTGACAGTTTGCAGAGAGTTATGACTGCTGTTAAGTGGGATTTGATTATCTGGAAGTAGACTAAAACCACTAGCCTTAAGCTCTGGGAAGGCAGAAAACTATGTCATCCCCCGATGCCTAGGCTAGTGTTCACTGGATAGCCGTCAAACAGATGATGGAAGCCCGTCCACATCTTCCTCTCTTCTGGCTACTTCCATTTAGTGTAACATCTTGGCAGAGTCCTCCCTCTGGCAGGAAAGCAGCCAGGGCCATGCAGACAGCATCCTGGCCTCCTGCGATTCCCAGCTCTCACCTTCTGGGCTGGGCTGTGGGTCATGCAGTTAATGGACCCACTAAGAGCCAGTTCTTCCGTCAGCTCCACATGGATAATCTGGGCTGACATTCTGCTCTCTTGCTTCCTCTGATCTGAGTTCCCACGAGGCTGGCAACTCATTATAGCCACTCAATGTGGTTAAGAGGTCCTTCTCACATTACAAGGCCCACCGCGGCTCGGCTTCACAGGGAAGCAAAGGCAAGAGATGAAATTGCATGGAAACAACTGGGGTTCCAGGCTGAGCCTATGAAGGCAGAGGAGGCCCGTCTGACCGGAGCACATCAGAATTGTGTACGGCAAGAAGAACACAGCAAGTGTCTGGGGCTCAGTAAACAGAATGCCCCCAGGCACCTGACTGATAGATTAAAATAAAGAAACAAAGGAAGACAGAAACTACAAGGAAAGGCTATGAGATGCACTCTCAGCAGAAGGCAGGTGGAGCTGAATAACAAAAAGTCTATTCCTCTTGGCAAGAGCTGAGGAGGACTTCGGTCTGCACTGCAGTGAGGGCTCCAGAAAGGAGAGGCTGGAGGAGACGGGAGAGGGGTGGGAAGGGAGGGGAAAGCCCTCACAGCTTGTCCAAGAGCTTTTGACAGTCTGATAGAGAAATCAGAAAAACCAGGATTCCAAAAATATGGTGATGGTTACAGTTACCTTTTGTAGCAGTCTGGCTAAATCTGGGTCCCAGAATTACTGGCAAACTGATAGATAACATGAGGCTGGGAGCAAGGGTCAGGAGAAGAGAAAAGAAAGTTCAGAGGGGAGTTTCCATCTGTATTTGGGTCATTGGGACAGTGTGGCACAATCTGCAGGCTCTGGAGGCTTGAAAGGGTGCCTCCACCTTGAAAGGAGAGGCTGAAAGCAGGCTGGGGCCCTGGGCCTGAGCCAGGAATAGGGGAAAGGGGGAGTGAGGGCATCTCCTCCAGGGGGGACCAGGAGAATCCCCAGACCCCCATGGGGACCCGTGCAGAGCAAGCAGTGATGGGGTGAATGTGAGCTTGGGTTCTGCTACCCCAGGGTAGGAGGTTTATTTTAGGACCTCACACCCTAAGAGAGCGGGGAGCTTACCTGCTCTGTCTCTACCATGAGTCAGTAGATCTAGAATGATAATTTTCCCACAACTCTCAAGCACTCTCTCAAGCCTTAACCCCTGAGCCATCACACAACTTCAGAAACTATCAGGTATGATGAATTCAGCATGGAGCCTTAGAAACCACACAGACTCTGGCATCAGCCAGCTCTGAGATGGAGACTGGCATTGCCATCTGCTTTGGGCAAGTTACTTAACCTGAGATTTTATTTACTCATTCAGAGAATGGATATCTGAATTGTGGATACTCATCTCATCTGTGTTAAGGATTAAAGAACATATGTGAAGCTCTTAGCTCAGTGCCTGATACAACTCGGTGCCCAGTAACATCGGCTGAAAGACCTAGTGCAGAGCCCTGCACACAGTTGCCACTCCATACATGTTAATTTCTCCTCTCCCCCATTTCTTCATATTTCTGTCTCCTCCTGCTTTTGATCTTTATTTACCTCCATATACTCTCTTATATGTCTCAAGTACATTCTGACCTAACTAGAAAATAATGAGCATGGTACACTTTGTCCTCTTTTCTTCATAAGCTGCTCTCTTTGGGAGACAAAGAGAACTTGGGGTAACCGGCTTTCCTTCTTAAGGAGAAACAGCTCAGACCAAAAAACAAAAACAAGAACAAAAACAAAATAACAACAAGAAAACCCCTTGTAAAAACAGCCCATTATTATATAGTGAATGGACACGTACAGCATGTGAGGACATGTAGCATCCTGGTGTCATGGCACTTTTGGGGTCTTATACTATGGCCCAGAGCTAAGGACAGTATTTAGGTCAAGACAGTAGAGCCTTTATATGGAGAGGGGCTGACCTTGACACTGCTCAAAATTCTGCAGAGCCAGGAGGACCAAAATATGTCAGTCAAGAGGGCAGGACTTGTTGAAGGAAAAGAATACAGTCCTTTGGATTCTTTCCTTAAGCTAATGTGTCCAGTATAAAATTCTAAATGTGACCTGGAGACACAGTGGCTCAGAGCATCAAAGAACAAAACAGCACTTGACTCTGGCATGAGGAGGGGCGGATCCATTCATTCGTTATCTGAGGTCCTGGGTACTGCTGGGGGGCTTGTGTCTTCTGGGGTTCCAAGGCCCCCGTGACAACAGAGATGGAGCCCATGTTTGGAACTGTGAAGAAAATCAATGGACTCGTGAAAAGGGGGGGGGGGCTCTGGGATTCGTGTTGATAATGTCTTCGGAGGATGGCAGACCAGAGTAGGGGGTGGGCAGGGGTATAGCAAAGGGTGATGCTTCTGTATACTTCCCCACTTCGAGGGGGTGCCAGAGACTATATGCCCACAGAAATGAAAGGGCTGATGAAGAGAAGTTAGAGGAGCTGCAAGTTTCTGCTAGTGGAACATCTGGGCGAGTGGAGGGGAAAATTTTGTCATTATATACCATTAACCCACACACTCATCATTCCTTCGGCAAATATTTACTGAATATCCACTACATTCTAGGCCCTCTGCTAGTTCTATGGGATATAGTGATGATGAGAGCAAGCCCACACACTCATGGGATTTACATTTTTGCAGGGAACACAGGTTTTCAAACAGGCAGCCACAGCATGGTGTAAATGCTACAACAGGAGTAGTACAGGGCACATGGGGGCACACAGGAACAGCCCCTCGTTCAGAGTGTTGATTAGGGAAGAATCCCTGAAAGAAGTGGGGAAGAAGTGAGGAAGTGAAGAAGAAGTGAGAGTCTAAGCTGGGACACTACATGTGAGGAATTAGCCAGAAGAAAAGCATGGAGTATGGAGACGTGGGGCCAGGGAGAAGAAAAGTTCCAGGCAGGGGGACTGTACAGGTGAAGGCTCTATAAAGAGAGGATGGTGTTGGAGGAAACAGGTCAGGGGAGGTGAAGCTGGAGAGGGAGGCTGGGGCCTGGGGGTAATGGACTTGCTTTCCTATCTGTCTGGAATGTGCCCTGTGTCTATAGAGCCACATATGTTGTGTGCATCAGAATGAGTTTGCAAGGCGTTGGAAGGCCCATGTCAGTTCAGTTATCTTTCTGTTCTGCCCCCACTACATTGGCGTGGCACTTTAGGTGAGACCCTTCCTAACTGGAACAGGGTGGTTCAGCTCATTTACTAGAAAGCAGGCAGGAGAGGCTCAGCCTGTGACCTATGCTCCAAGATCATGACCCAGCCCAGCTGCTCTGCCTCCAACTGGACAACTGGGCAAATCACTTCAACCCTCTGGGCTGCCATTTCAGCATCTGTGAAACAACAGGCCACACTAGGTGAGCTTCCATATCTAATACGGTGATCTGAAGAGATGACACCCAACTGCAGGGCCCGGTTGGTCCCTGACTCTTGAGGCTAAAATCATGAGTATGAGTGGCAGTTCAAGGACTCAGCCTACTGACAAATCCTCTCCTCCATTTGTGCTTTGAATATTGACTTACCCGCTGCTTATCTGGGTCCACAAAGCGGATCCCAAAATAGTCTTTCTCAAGAAGGTTCAGGTGGTGGCAAAGAAGGTCAAACAGGTACTGGCCTTTGGCATCTCTCTGCAAAGAAAGCAAGCTCCATTGAGAAATGATAGTACTTCTTCAGTGTAACTGTGTTTTGATTGTCATTAAAGATCATCTAGGGGCACCTGGCTGGCTCAGTTGGTAGAGCACCCGATTTTTGATCTCAGGATCGAGAGTTCAAGCCCTATGTTGGGCCTAGAGATTACTTAAAAAAAATCATCTACAAGTTGGATGAGGATGTGAAAAGGGCATGTGTCTGTAATGATGTCCTCCATATTGTGATGTGTTAGATAGTCTCTAGAGTTCTGAAGCTCTTAGCACCTAGAAGGAGCCGAAGAGCCCTTCCTTCCACAAAGATGTCACAGAAGTCAGAGGAGAGTCAGGGAAGCCCAGTTCCAATCTCAATGCACAAAGCTTTCCTGAACAAGTGGGAGCAGGGAAAGTCAGTGTGGAATACACAGAGTCCAGCTGGCCCTGCCTCTAAAGTAGATCTTGAATCCACCCACTTCTCTCCATCCCTATTACCAACTTCATGGTCAAGCCACCACCATCTCTCAATGTGCTCTCTCCACACAGCACAGTGATTGTGATTTAGACAAGCTACCTTTTTTTGCTGAATATGTAACAAAGGCATACCAATATATTCAAACATACAAAAGGAGACACTGTGAAGAGTAGGCCTCCCGTCCACCCTGTGTCTCAGTTTCCCTCCCCAGAAGCAACTCCTTGTGTTGCTCCTTACCAGCTCCTTGTATATCCTTTTTAAAAAATATTTTTGAGAGAGAGAGAGAGAGAGAGAGAGAGAGAGAGAGAGAGACGGAAAGAGAGTGCAAGCAGAGCAGTGGCAGAGAGAGAAGAGGAGACAGAATGTGAAGCAGGCTCCAGGCTGTGAGCTATCAGCACAGAGCCTGATGTGGGTCGTCAACCCATGAGCCATGAGATCATGACCTGAGCCAAAGTTGGACACTCAACTGACTGAGCCACCCAGGTGCCTCTCCTTGTGTATACTTAACGTAGGATTTTACACTTTTATACACAGGCAAGCCTATATATATATATGTATATATATATATGTATATGTATATATATACGTATATATATACACACACACACACACACACACACACACACATATATATATATATATATATATATATATATATATAATCACTTTCAAAAATATAGTGGCAGTATATTTTATGCTGTATTCTATTTCTTGTTTTTTTGCTTCTTAGGGTATCCTGTGAATCTTTCTCTGGCAGTACATACAGACCTGCCTCATAGTCTTTAACTGCTACAGACCACTGGGATGAACCTACATGTATTTGACCCGGCCCCATATCAATGGAATTGGTTTCTAATCTGCTATTACAAACAACGAGGCAGTGAGTACACAGTGATCTTTAATCAGGTTGCCACTCTTGCTTAACACAGTCAGTGGCTTCCCATTGCTCTCAGAATAAAACCTAAACTCTGACCACAGGCCCTATACACCCTAGTTCTTACCTGCTGTGAACTCCTCCCAAATCCTTCTTCTCACTGCTCTCTGGCCACGGCCTTTCTTCCTGATGCTCCAAGGATTTTCCCCGTGTCTCCATATGCTCTCTGCCTGGACTGCAGCTCTTCCATTGGTTATTCCCTCCCTCCTTGAGGTTTCGGCTCTAATGTCCTTTCTCTAGAGAGGTCTTTCCCCTACAGAAGGGCCTCTCCCAGTTACCATCTCATTTATCCTGTTTATTCCCTTCATGAGACTTATAACAATCTGTAATTATCTTATTGATTTACTTGTTTATTATCTGCTCCCTTTCTAGACTGTCATTTTCATGAAGGCAGGAGCTGTCCCCCAGAACCTAGCTGGTGGCTAGGTCCTCAACAGTTATTCACTAAATAAGCTAATGACTGAAGGACTAGAAGGTAGGGGGTTGGCTAAATTTTTCACAAAACGTGAGGAAATTAGGCCATTTCTAAACCTTTAACTTCTCCTTCAGGGACATGCCTCAGTATCCGGGATGAGCTGGGAGCAGAATGACTTGTGGAAAACTGTCAGAATATCTGCAGCTCTGCAGGATGGCAGTCTCTAGGCCTATCCCCAGGGGTCTCTGCAGTTCAGCTCAGACGGTGGCCTCTGGTGGGACTGTGTCTCATTTTGCATCCAAAACCAAGGTCATCTTAAAAGATCCAAAGTATCTCACCTGTGTAAAGGCCAAAGGGCCCAGTACTGCTCCAAGAAAGGGCAGACCTTTATGACCTCCACGCAATGTTTACTTCTCACCTCTTCCCCTTCCGCTGGCTCATCCTATACTTTCCAGGAGAAGTAGGGCAGGAGATCAGTTCTCTCAGCAAATATCTTAAGAAGCTTATCCTTGTAGGATTGGAAGGAAGAGAGAGTGGACAGCTCAACAAAGGAAGGCTGTACCAGGTGGGCATCTCCCCACCTTTTCTGCTGGCCCTGCACTCCTTCCTAACACAGTCCCAAAGCAGCCACCCCGATTCTTACACCCTTTGATTTCTCACCAAAAAGAGCTACTCTCAAGGCAGACTTATGAATCATGCTGGGATCTTTGGGTGGTGCGCTACAAACCAGGTCTTTCAAAAGACTCTATCAACAACAGTCTTTTGGGGCAAGGGCTGCCAATGATTTCCTCATTTACACCCCAGAGTGTGGGGAGAGCTTAAACTCTTTCCTAAAATTCTTCTGGGAGGAGAGGAAATATGTTTAACTCTATTCCAAGTGGCATGTCTTGTACTATTATCTCTCTCAGAGCAATTGAAATGGAATATTAAGAAACAGTGGAATATTGTGATTATTTTTCTCCACACATTTTACTTTGCACCAAATGGCTACTTCCTGGTGGTCAGCTCAGGTGAGTTTTAGTGGCTAAAGGAGTTCACTTCCATCTGTACAGCAACCATATTAGCAGGGGCCTGGGGCAGCCATGGGGAGAATGTACTTGTGTGATAGAAATCAAAAGAACTTTAAAATATTTTTTATAAAGTATTTATTATTAATTAATTAATTTATTTACAAGAGAGAAAGAGTATGTGCAAGCAGGGGGAAAGGGGCAGAGGGATAGAGAGATAGAGAGAGAGAGAGAGGGAGAGAGAGAATCCCAAGTGGGCTCCATGCTTAGCACAGAGCCCAATGCAGGGCTCAATCCCACGACCCTTGGATCATGACCTGAGCCAAAACCAAGAGTCAGACACTCAACCAACTGAACCACCCAGGCGCCCCAAATCACAAGAACTTTTAACAAGAATCATGTCTTCCATGAAAACAACTGGTTCTTATGAGTTGGCAGCTTGAATACACTGGTAGGGACCTTAGGTGGCAAGAACTTTAAATTCAACAGATCCAAACTCAGAGATCTCCATTTCACAGGAAAGAAAAAAAAGCAAGAATAGCTTTTCTCATCAGATAATTATGAAAAAGAAATCCTAGTATACCTCCCTTATCTCCAGAGAAAAGGATCTTGCTCTTGTTATTTTCCAGCATCTGGTGAGACCCCTACTCCTGGCCATGAAGTCAGAATTCCTTCAGGTTCCCATTTACCAGTGGTAGATGCATGGGTTTGAGCTACAAAGCTCTTATGATGACTAATGAAGAAAATCATCTTCCTTTGCTGTTTCTCCAAGGCCAGAGGGTAGGAGGTTAGGGGAATGGAACAGAGTTCCTTGTTATGGCAGAATTCCATGAAGTTCAATTCCCAGCAGAAACACAAAGGCAGAATCAACTCAGAGCACTGCTGGGGCATCTTTCACAGAGGGTTGCAACCTGCCCCTCTCTTGGGGCACTCACGCCAGTGGCTGGCAGAGTGGCCTGAGGTAGCCTTTGGGTAGAGAGTCACATTCAGCTGAACCACCATGGTGGGCTCCCTACAATAAGCCATTGGCAGGGGCAAGTTTAAGAATTTTAAATTTTCTGGCCTTGTGCTTTCAGATGCCAGCCAGCTGTTTCCTAGAATGCTCTCTTTTTGATCACCCTGCACTAGGTCTGGGGCTTTCTGGAATATTCTGTGGCAGCCAAGTCTTCTCTTTTGATGAGATGGCAAAGTCCAGTGAGTTCTGTCTTCTTTTCCCTTTGCCTGCAGTGGCCCTGACGCTACAAGCTAAACTGTGTATTGTGTGCTTAATGTTGTGCCATTGATTAAGCTGGAGAAACAGGCACTTGCGTTGACAGGTGATTACTGTTTAGTCACAAAGTCAGGGCTCCAAGCCTGAGGAAGTTTATCTTCAGGACATGTGAGCTGAGGTAGAGCACCCAAATCCTGCTAAACCTCTGAGTTTATTCTCTTCCCAAAGATATTATTGGGTTAAAATAACTTACTCAGCATCCATTTAAAAAATAAATTTGTATTTTGTAAACCACAATAGTACCTATTTGAAAATAATACTAGCAGTACTTGAAAATAATAGCGCATATACACGCAACCCATTTACGCTCTCTGAATGGTGTGCTGAATGATTGATGAATCCCTTAGAATCATCCTGCAACTCTGAGGTTGGGAGAATTCATATTCTTGCTCTTTCCTGGAGTGCCTGGCTTTTATTCTCTATTCTTTAGGGAAGAGACTGAGGCAGCATGCAGTGGGCCAGTGACCTAAACTATTCAAGGTTAATTGCCTTTTCTGACTCATAATCCATAAGTTTGGACAGGAGAGCAGCTTTATTTTTTTATTAAAAATTTTTCATTTTTTAATTTATTTGAGAGAGAAAGCATGAGCAGGGGAGAGGGGCAGAGAGAGAGAGAGAGAGAGAGAAAGAATGCCAAGCAGGCTTCACACTCAGTGTGGAGCCCAATGCAGGGCTTGAGCCCACAACCCTGGAACCATGACCTGAGTCAAAATCAAGTCAGACACTCAACTGACTGAGCCACCCAGACACCCTGAGAGCACCTTTATTTTAACCCATCATGTGGTCAATCCCAGGGACTCTGGCATAGTGCACCCTGATCAGAGCGGCTGACATGTAGAACAGCCGCCGGGGGGGGGGGGGGGGGGGGGGGGGGGGGGGGGGGGGGGGGG